GGAATTGTGTACCAAATCATAAAAGGATAATAATATACTGAATGGTTCGTGAGTTATGTCGTCACATAGAAATGAACAAAATTGAAATAACATTGAAAATCCAGGATATAAAGCTTGGGTAATAAAACTGCGTTTATCATGCGATGGTTTTTTTTTGAAAATTTTCTTTGGTACCTACTACGTATTCTTGTCTGAAAAACACAAATTTGTTGATGAAAATGTGAACAGACCACTATTTATCGAAATATTTCAAGAAAACGTCCGAAATGTCGCCTTCTTTTTCTCCTTGTGTTGGATGCATTCACAGCTACTTACTCTTCTTATTTCATCATTGGACACTTTGAATACGCATGATGTACTCCAATCACACATCTTTGTATAGAAGATTCAACAGGAAATATGATTTATTTTGGCGAGTTTCCCATATTTAATGAACAAGGATACCAGATGACGGCCATTTAATCAATAGTCAATCCAAATACGAGATGTCAAATGCCAACAGATTGCATTTGAATGACATCACACACGACATAATTTTAAATTATATTCTTCCTTATTCTCACTAAATATGGATAAATCACAAGAACATCATATTCCTAGTTGACTCAAAAATAGAAAAAATGTGTCGTACATTGTGATATATATAAATGATGAAAAAGGAAGGGCAAATTGTTCTAAATGCGATCCAGAAGACAGGCGGAAAAGAAGATGGAATTTGTAACTTTATTGTCAAATATCCTAATAAATAATAGTTTGTTCACATTCTCATTATCAAATTCGTGTTCTTCAGACAAAACTACGTGAGTACAAAAAACAATTTCGCAAAAAATGCAGTTTTACCGCAGCTTGTGAGACCCTACAAATATGGTATATCAACACACTCTTCAATGATTTTGAATGAGTATCGAATTGAAAGTCACTCTGGAAATGGCATCAATTAAAATTCGAATTGAGGACTTCAATTCATTTCTGATTTTCTATCTTCACTCAATGAATGAAATTTTACAAACTAGTTCAATTTGAACCACTCATCTGCTCTTCATATAAATCAACAGAAATTGAATCAAATTCTGCATTTTTCAAAAACGCTATACAAGTCCATGAAGCTATATGCATACTTTTTATCCATATAGAGCAGAAGTCCACTTCAAAAGTATATGAATATAGAGAGATATACACTATTGTATATAATTGACACGAAATTGAGATACTGCATCGTATCAACCATAGTCGAAGATGATACCACTGTGCCAATTCAAAGCTCAAAACATAAGATGTCATTATATCATTATTATGTCCTGTAGAATGTCTAAGAAACGACCAACAATAACTTCTGTTCTTCAATTTCAAATATTCATCATTGAAGGGGTGACAAAATTCAAGTGATGTAATGTGCAAACCAGTATTCCTACAATCGAATAGTCAGGAATTGTTTCCTCAATTATTAGCTACAGCTATTCCTGCTTCTGCTTGAATCTGATGATATTCAGCACTTTCACTCTACCCACTCTATAACCATCTAATGAAACCATATGCTGCCCATACACAATTTAATAGCTTTGAAATGATCCCGACCCCTATTTAGACTCACACCCAATTACCTTCCCTATCGCTCTAATAACCGACTTACGAATCAAAATAACCTCAATCAGCTCTCACGCCCGTCCGAAAAATAAATATTCCACCCTGAATATTTCACCCTGAGAGCGCCTTCAGGGTTGGAGGAAAGGGACTTTCACGGTTCGTCACCGACCCCTCCGTGAATCAAATTGTACGTTTGTGGCGAGTATGATAATTCGGTCTGATTGAGGCTTCATTACGGATGGTCTCTTAGAAAGACGAAGAATTCCTGTACAGGGTGATCAAAAATGCATGCTGCCACCAAGCCAAAAACGCGTGGAAGAAAAAAAAAACACTCAGTAGATATATCGGCTGAATCAAAAGGCCAAAAGAGGATTTGAGTATCTGGGAGATCGCTTGTGCAAAATAGATGCGAATTGTGCGATCAAAGAATGACGGGGGGTCTTACCTTTTAACGTGTGATCTCAAATACTTTCTTAGGCTTTTTTTGGATTGACTCGGCCGTTACTTGATGAAAATCCATGGCAAATGTGAAAACTTCACAAACGATAAGATTTCCACAAAATTCTTAGACACGCAACATGTTTTGCTGACAGAGTAGCTTCGTCAGGTGATATACTGGTATATTATTTATTTATTTATTTATTTATTCCAAGTTTGGGATACAAACAGGTAAAACTCATACAAGCATCCACTAATAGTTACAATAATAATAGATTAATCGGTAGTCTAAGAGGTACAGGAATAAACTGAATTGTATTCATTATAAGATGAAGAATTGAAAATATGTCTTACAGTTATTTTGAAAGAATTAAATGTCATGGAGAATATATCTAAATTATTACAATATTTGTTGAAACAGTAACACATTCTGGTGATTGGAGAATTTTTCCCAAATTTGTGTTGTAACTAGGACTAGTAAGTAATTGTCTTTTTCTAGTATATCTTTGAGGAACATGATAAAAAATCATAGACAGTAAATTAGGAGAATCGTAAAAATTTTTTTGATTTTGTACATCAAGAGTAAATCCGTATATTATTCGTCGTTGTTCGAGAAGCTGTATTTTATGAAGAAAACGAATTTCACTGATGCCAACAGTTATGTAAACCTTCGTTATTTTGAAGTGGAGAAACCTTACAAATCTATTCTGGGGTCTTTCTAATCGTAATTTATAAACATTATAATGTGGGTCCCATACTACACTGGCGAAATTTAGTTTGCTGTGAACAAAAGCAAAATAAACAGATTTGATGGCTGCCTCATTATCAAAGTCCTTGCATGTTCTGCAAAAAAAATCCCAAAGCTCTATTGCAAGAATTAAGTAGGTACTCAAAATGTGGGTTGAAAGTCATTTTTGTATCGAAGTATACACCAAGATCCTTGATTCGGTCCGTTCTTTTGACTATACTATCATTCAGTAGATATTGGAATTCTATAGGGACAATGTTTTTACTGAAAGCTATACTCGCACATTTGCTGACATTGAGTTTCATTTTGTTACGGTTACAATATTCAGTGAACCTATTTAGATCTTCTTGAATCTTTGAGCAGTAATTGTCAGCACTTTCAAATCGTCAGCATATAACAGTATCTGTGAATTTTTGAAACAGCTGTTCAGATCATTGATAAACACTGAAAACAGTAAAGGACCCAGATGTGAGCCCTGAGGGACTCCTGAAGTTACCACGATAAAGATTCAGACCTATATCCATTTATGTTCACAAGTTGACTTCGATTATAAAGATATGACGAGAGCCATCTCAGAAGATTTCCCTGTATACCAATTCCAGAAAGTTTCGATTTAAGGAGGTTGTGATCGACTTTATCGAACGCTTTGCTGAAATCAGAATACAGTGAATCAACCTGCGCTTGATTGTCTAAGGCATTCGAGATGTATTCAGAATATATAACCAAGTTTGTTTCAATCCCTCGTTTGAAGAAAAATCCGTGTTGGCATTCTAAAATCGATGATTTAAGACTATGAAACATAATGTCATAAATTAAGCTTTCAAATAATTTGCTGAATATGGATAAATTGGAGATACCACGATAATTATCATTATGTTGCTATGTTTTCGTCTCTTAAAAAATTGTTAGAATATTTTCATACCAATATTGGCGAGGAATAAAATGTTAACATTCGCTGATATTGTCTTACGCGAAAACGGTATACGTTGTATAAAACTGAATCTTAGAAACAGTTTTCAAAAATAGTTCTGTTTTTTTCGAAAGAATAGGTGGCAAACCATGGTTTACTTCAAAAAATGTCAGTTCAAGCCTCGTAGGACGTCATTGGTTGAAATCTCAAAAAATCTTTCACGTCAAAAAATCCACAATGAAGAAGAGGTGTGTACAAAAATTCATGAAGATATCTAAGATCTCATGAGAAATTATAATGAAAACTCACTTTTTCCTCAACATTTCAACAGCCTTTTTTTTTCATTGATACAGTGTTGCCACTCCTATCAGAAACAACTAGCAACTTCGTTATTTCAAATGGAGTACCCTGTATTTTATTGCATTTATAGATTTTTCCTGTAGAACTGATTTCATCAATGTATCACACTTGGGGTTTAGCAGGAATGATTACAGATTATAGGGTGTTCAAAATCGCGATTTTTCAATTTCAGGAGTTTTTTGTGTCTAAACTATTCATTATTGATCAAAACGGCTTATATTAACTTACGATTCACTATCTTCTGACATTTAATTGGAACTGATACAGGGTGATCAGAATTCTGAATCTTGAAGCACCCTATTTTTTCCAATATATTTCCAGTAGATAGTGAATCAAAAAATAAGATAGAAACATGTAAGCCGTTTTGATCAATAATGAATAGTTTCGACACAAAAAAATCTCGATTTTGAACACCCTATATCTCTGTTATCATTCCTGCTAGACCCCAAGTGTGATGCATTGATAAAATCAGCTCTTCAGAAACAATCTAAAAATACAATAAAATACAGGGTGTTCCATTTGAAATAACAAAGTTGCTAGTTGTTTCTGATAGAAGTGGCAACACTGTATCGATGAAAATATTTTAGACGGATAGAGAATGTTCAATTATCGGAGCATACGAATTTTCAGAATGTTCTGTTTTTTCGTTCTCCAGATACTTCTTATAGGCCATCCACCGTGGATCAGCCTGTATGTTGATATTAGGTTTTCTCTTTAATATCACCTGAGGATCCACCCCTTGTATTATCGGCGATTAAAAAAAACGGTTTGGTGACTGATGAAACAGTGTAGTAAGTTATCGTGCCAAACCTTCTAGTCTTCGATATAATACCCTAGAATAATCACTTTGTGTATGGAAGTTCTACTGAAATCTCAATTTATTGATACTAGGAGAGAAAATCCAAAAGGACATCCTTCACACATAAATATTAGTTCTGGCGTTCCGGGAAATGCACATACCTCCGGCCTTTCCGGAACTTCATCCTCCATCCAGAATCCGAGCAGTCCAGATACCGAGAGGTTGGCCTTTTATTTGTCTTCGGCAGTTTCTCAGGCAGTTCATTAGGGCATTGTTTGTAGTGACCGTCCATACAATTGCACAGTTTCATGCGAGACTGCGCTAAATATGTGGGCAAAGTTCACAGAGGATAGCGCCGCATTGTCAAAATGCTCTTCTCTAGTCTCGAAATAGATTTGTTGTGCTTTATGGCGTGTAATTCTGAATAGTTAGAACAGAACTTTGATGATGTACAAGCAACTACATGTGTTGCGGTGCACCCTCATTCCTTCTGCATATCCTGATTTTGAGGTCAGCGATGGAGTTGAAACGGATCCAAAACTCAGGAGGGATGGAAGAACTTACAATCACAACTCCCCCACATAAACAATTTAATAATGATCAACGGTCATGACAAAAGGACATGTTTCAAAGATTCAATCCTTTATAATCAGCAAATTTATGGAGAAGAATATATGTGAGAAGAAAACAATGCTTATGTTAGTGTTCAAGTATTGTTAGAAAGTCTGAATATACCATTATTGGTGGAACAAGAAAACTACTTCAATAACCTGAAACATCATTTAAAACCGCGCATAGTGCTGGTGGGTAGCTGTTAGGAAGCAAACATTATAACTAGCTCTGTGAGAGCCCAAATCTCAAAACTTTATTTGAAGAAAATATTCAAAAGCACCAACATGTGGGTCTGAAATTGTTGAATTAGGTTTTCTGTTTCGGGCCAGGAGCTATTGCACTGCCAGTCAGCTGCTTATGATCTATAAGGCACAGATCCGACCTTTCTGGAATACTGTTTCCATATTTGGAGTGCAGCTCCCGAACATACCCTGAAACTGTTGGATTCTGTCCCAAAAAGGGCAATTCGTCTCGTGGGTGATGCATCGCTCACAAACTCACTCACTTCTCTGAAACACCGTAGAAGAGTTGACGATCTGGCTCTATTTCATAGATATCTTCATGGACAATGCTCTTCTGAAATATCAACAATTGTTCCTTCCTTGACAGTCCCAGCGAGATTAACCCATCGAGTTGAGGCTTCGCACCCCGTCGTGGTCACTTTGGAGACCTGCAGAACATCTCTTTCCAAAGACTCGTTCATTCAACGAACAGCGAGGCTCTGGAACACATTACCAAGGGAGGTATTCCCCGAGGCATATAACCTCCAGAAATTCGAGAAGAACACCAATTCCTACCTTATTTCCCTTGGTTCTCATAATCGTTCTCTGAACATTACAGGATATCTCTTTTCGTGGGAACAAGAACATAAGAAAAAATGATCACAAATATGGCAATCGACATAATGATACTTGACAATAATGACGCTGAGGACAAAACACAACATCAGAATGACACACGTCACATCAATAACCAAGGAATGTCTTGATTCAAGTGACATAGAACACCGAACAGGATTATAGTTAAAAAAACAAGGAGTTGAATGATTTGAGACTATCGAATTGAGTTCGTTCATTGAGGCAGTTGAGGTTAGAGTTTTTGACAGCTTTATTGATTTCCAATTACATGTTCTGTGGTGTATTGTCGTTTCTTCTGTTTCTGAGGTCAGCGAAGTGCCTCTTCAAATGGATCCAAAACTGAAAACATGTATTTCGATATCGAGAGATCAACAAGTATGGCAGCTTAAATGACATGTTCCTGATCAACCAAAATAACTAATTGATTGAAATTATATATATATCCTCGGCCGTGACTTGAAGACGAATTTGAAAGCAGTGTATTATTGGGGTCTAATTGATCGAAATCATGAATATCTTTCAATATACTCTCAATGTTACCATTCGAAAACGAGCAGAACTCAATGGAAATTTGTCGAAACACGTAAATTCACATATCAAGGAGGAGGTATCTGTATATTATTTTATTCAACCCCTTCACCATGACCCTGGAAATTTTCAATAACAACTCTCTTTCATTTTGTTATTTTTGGAATCCTTATATTACTTCAGATGAGTAACAACTATTTTCAATTTTGTTTACCTCAGAATGGCAGTACTTAACCTCACAACTTCTTGATTGAAATTTATAAATAACTAATTACTTTATGAATTGTCCATTATTTTGTAAGCACAGCCGATATGCTGTTCGATGATCTTCTGGAAGGTCTCTGGCATAATATTATTCCATAAACTTGAAATGAATGTATTCAGGAGTGAGAGTATTATTTACATGGATAGTTATGTACAGGGTATCCCAATTTGGGCACTTTTGCGGGGTATCTCCCTTATCAGTAAAGATAGAGCATTGCGGTTTTCGCGACAGTGTGCTACTTTTTTATGAAATTAATAATGGCGCAAGCAGAATTGTGATAGCTCTTCCGGTTGTCGAGATACAGGGTGGAATTGAAAAATATCACTTTTCAGGCGCCCTCCGTGTCTCAGTTATCTTTGAACTTATTGAAGAAGTTAAAACTTGTTTTTATAGAGTTTTTCTCGTAGAATCCAGTGGCGTAGTTATTTTTTTGCTAGCATCTTTTGTTTTTTAGTTATGGAGCAAACATATGTTTTTTTAAATGGAACACCCTGTATATTATTTCATATATACATTGAGCATGAAGTGGGCTTTCCAAAAATATATAATTGTATACAATTATTTTCCATTTAAAAAAACATATGTTTGCTCCATAACTAAAAAACAAAAGGTGCTAGCAAAAAAATAACTACGCCACGGGATTCTACGAGAAAAACTCTATAAAAACAAGTATTAACTTCTTCGATAAGTTCAAAGATAACTGAGACACGGGGGGTGATATTTTTCAATTCCACCCTGTATCTAGACAACCGGAAGAGCTACCACAATTCTGCTTGCGCCATTATTAATTTCATAAAAAAGTAGCACACTGTCGCGAAAACCGCAATGCTCTATCTTTACTGATAAGGGAGATACCCCGCAAAAGTGCCCAAATTGGGATACCCTGTACAGAATGTTCCATTCAAACTTATCAAGTTGATTTTCTTCTCTCAAAGTTTGTTGACAATAGCTCATATGGCTTAAGGACCTCTAGGCATATAGTGTACGCATCTGGACAATCTCAGTGTTCAACCGAGGGCTTTAGCTGCGAACCTGGATATCACTCAATCCTCGTCCTGGCCGTTCTCGTCTAATCCTGGTCATTTTCCAGACATCCTTTCACAGTGACCCGCTCTACCGAGATTATGTCGAATCATTTACTCTGCTTTATGCGATAAAGTTGTTGAAAAATGTCGGATGATATATGGGATTAAAGGGACTTCCAGTTGCCAGGCTTCAGGGAGAGTTTAACTTCAGCTTTTCCTGCTTCTCATTCAGGGCAGTCCCAAGGGGTATGATCTAACCAACAGTAATATCACGATGTTCTGAATATTCGAGATAATTTTGTCGATTCATTGTTCACGAAACACCACGAGTCCTTCAGCAACAGAATCGAGTTGAATGTGAGGCAGAATTATGGGGAGATATTCAGAACAGAGTGGTATTTTGCTAGACTATTTCAGGATGCATGAGAAGCAGTACAACCAAAGCGATTCATTCAGATATCTACACAGCTATAACTGAATATTTCATGTCAAACTAAAAGACTCCCCTCCACTATTCATGGTAACATCATTGAAAACCACTGATAGACCAATCAGAATTGAAAGACAACTAGTCTATTCGCGATAAGAAGATTCTTCTTTGGCTCGCTTTGCGCTTGGTCAGGTAATGGAAGAATTCGAAGATGAGTGCAATAGTCACTGTTATACAAGGCGTTTCAAAAATCCTGAACCTAGCTTATTATGAAGTATTCCACCTGCCCTAGCAAGGGGGTCAGGTTTTTTTGGAACACCCTGTATATACACATATATCACACATACTAAGCAGTCTGAAGAAGTTCTTGGGCAAAGATTTTGTTGACTGATACTCTTCAAATCATTGAGAAAATACACTAATCCAACGTATGAGTTGGAGGAATATACACATTATTCTGAATTTACAGCAACCTCATAGATATTTTTCTATTCATTCTCGTATGATGTCACTATAGTATATGAGAATTCTGTTCCAAGTTAAAGATAATTTTTTCTTCAATATTCATCGACCAGAATGAATAGATATTATGGGGGCAGTAGGCTATTTCTATACACAAGATGTAACAGTTTTATATCTCAAAATCCAGAGCCCTGTATACTCTAACCGAAACATAATGTTAGTGGAACTTTGCAATTTATTTCAGTGCATTTCTCAACTTTAGCATTAGAATTACTGTCGGAATAACTATTTGATGACTATGAATTTATGACACTTCTCTTGAACCTCATAAAACGGATTTCCGTAATCTATAATTGAGAAGTTGATTCATTCTGTTGAACAAAATTTCAAGATCTTCAATGATCAACTAGAAGATCTGATAACGCTGTAAATGGAATTTTTGAATCCAGAATCCGGCACTAAATGTCCATGAACTTTTTTATTCAGGCTCACGGTAGTTATCACAAAATCAATCAGGTGCCTTGAAGTCGTTTCATGAAGACTGAGCAAACGTATTTGGTTCCATTTTTCAATAAGGTATGTTTATTGACCCCGCGCATGTAGACAAGTTCTGAGATGGGCATATACCTATTTCAAATGGTTTCAGAAATGAAATTTTTGTACTTTCATTCTGATTCGTATACAGAAATATTACATCAAACTCCGTTCGAGGTGAAAATTGTGAAATTGTGTGCCTACCTTATACAGGATGTCCCGTGACTCGATCCCAGAAGCTTTATCAATTTCAAGTCGAGAGTGTCCTATATAATTTTGTCCAAATTCAACAGTTATGAAGTTATGAGCAATTGAATAACAACTTTGCTCACTAGTGGATTCAAAGATATCGTGGTACAGTTGTTTGGCCATCAAGGTCACCTGACCACTATCATCTTCAGGGACGCATGAAGAGTCTGGTGTATTGAAATAAACTACCAACCAGAGTTTAGCTGATTCAAAATATGATGACATCATCTGCATTCATGAAAGACGACCCAGATACTCTTCACAGAGCAACGTTTTGAATAATCAGACAAACCAGAATGTGTAGTGGAGTAGCTGAGTGGCATTTCGAATGAGAACCTTAGTTATATGTATAGGTGAACAAAAAATTATCAAATGATAAAATATTACATTACGTTATTCAACATTGCTTTATTATACACACTCTGTTTTATATAATATTGTTCATTACTATTCAACTATAGAGTTCTGGACACAAGTGTAGAGTTGAAAGTGTTTAAATGAAGTGCCCTAAAGCTATGAGGATCGAATCATGGGACTCCTTGTCATACCTCAACCTAGAAATAATTTTATGGAAATCAATAGTATTTCCAAATACACTTGACGATAACTAAATTTTTTTTTTGAAAAAATAGTGGGAGTGAAGATGTTCTTGGGAGAATAGATTATTTGTTTCAACTCACCTTTCCAACCCCTGTAACTTCCTTTACTCCAATTTTTCTGAGTAGCGCTGGAGGTACTGGTGGAGGAGTTCTTTGCAGAGCTCCACAGAATCCCGTGCCATCCCCTTCTTCCAGGCTGTACCTCTTTTTCCTATGTGGAGAAGCTGACAGGTTCAGCTTTTGTGCCGCCCTGAAACAAGAGATACTCATCATACAAGGGAATAAGATGAAGTATTTCGGCCCAAGGCCACAGAATTGCTCTTTTTTCACTGTGTTCGATACATCAATGAGGTAGATAGATAGATAGATTACACTATGTGGGCGGAGGGATCCTTCAGCATGTAGGCCTCCTAGTTCGGGCCCGTTATTTATGCACCCACCTCTGCTGGGAATTGGTTCAGTCATGAAGGTTGCCAATTTCGCGGGCAAAAGAGACCAGCCATCTCAACGGAACCCTTCTCACACTCTCTGGTTCCAAAACGATGTTCCCGAGATGTGCTTCCCGTATTGCTGCAACTGCTGGGCATTCCGTGAGGATGTGAGTAGCTGACTCCTCGTCCTCCAGGCACCACCTACATTCAGCATCATCAGTGATAACCATAATGTTGAGGTGCCTGTTTAGATGGCAGTGACCCGTGAGGAGCCCTACCACTATTCTTATTTCTTTTCTGCTCAATGTGAGCAACGTTTTGGTTCTTCTGATAGAAGGGCCTTCGATATGGGGTTTCGATTGTCTCATGCCTGGAGTCTCTCTCCATACCTCCTGAAATTTCGTTTCCGAGCTTTTCATCATGGTTGAGACGCTCCAGGATCTGGAAACTCCTAAGATTGGTTCTGGTCCAATGGCTGAGCTATTTGCTCCTTGTCTAGCCAATGAGGTACTTTCCATTTCCATTGTGTAATTATTACAAAAAAATCTCATCGCTCATGGATTGTCAAATTGCAAGCAATGAAAGCTCTGTCTAATAGACGAGCATTACTTGACAGGAAATCAGATGGTAACGAGCCGAAGTAATCGAAAAAGCCGCTGCTATCTGTTACAGCCGTAGAAAAATTATGATGTAGTACTTGCACGGAATGCAAATTTCCTACTCGAATGATTGCAGCATTCGCCTATGGTTCATGCTGCAAACTTCATTCTTGTAGGAAATCACTATCATTCCGTGCTGGTTGAACAATATACTATTTATGTATCATGATAGCAAAGATTCCTATTTCCCACCGCTTGTAAAGTTCTAGCGAAGCAAATGGAAGAAAATGGAATTTCGATTCCTATATATTTTTCAACGTCAGTCTTCAAATTGTGATTGAGGCGGTAAGAAGCTTATTTTACCAAATCAACAATATGCGTTGCAAAGGTGTAATATGTTAAAGACAATTGACGGCATTTGAAACTGAAGAACATAAAATCAATTTGACACTTTTGTCATTATGGATTTGTATATTTTGTTATTGCATTTGAAAGTTCGAAAGCTCTAAATGTACTATCTCTTTCTTCCAGACTAAACCTCCATTTTCAATGTGGAGAATATGACTGGTTCAGATTTTGTGCCGTCCTAAAAACAAGAAATATTTATAATATGTATAAGGAAATAATGTGATGGACATCGGCTCAAGGTATGCTGAGATATTTTTAGGTATCTAGGAAGAAAGGTATCCATCTCCTTCCGCTTGTCTAGCTTTGCTTCCATGATATATTTCTTGGTAACCCCATTCTTATTTGGAAATTGTGCTTAAGGTGTTTTAGAGTCTCTTCCATCCAAATCAATATAAGAGTTTCCTTCATCCAAATCAATATAACGTGTGTAATTACATTTTGAAGTTTTGACTAGGTAAGTTTGAAATATGAAAAAATATATTAAATTATTGATATTGATAAATTGATAGTTGTTTGGATATAGTGATGAAGACACTACATAATCCACATTACTTGGATTGCACGGATCTTACAAAACAATTCTGAATATTCATGAAGATGCCAACAGTGAACTTCACATCACATTATATCAAAACTCCCAAGAACTCCCGAATTAAAAACATCATCAGATTTTCCAATTTCACAGTTTCTTGCGTCAGAGCTGCGGAGAAATTCGCCACATTCTCACCCCTCCAACGCTTGCCATTATCGGATCACGTGACGACCATACGTAATCCTTTCCAGGCCACTGTTTTCGCGGGTTACTGTCAAAATGTTGCCTTTCCACGGCCTCCCTATGTGTTATTGCATCGACTTATTGCCGAAGATTTTGCGGCAGATAGAAAGGAGATTTGGAAATAGGGATTTGCTCGGTTATATAGGTTCCAGAAGAAATAAATGAGAATATTACACTTACTATACTCTTCTCCATGGAATGATAATATTAAAGAATGTATTTGTTTACAGTTGAGATTGGATTTCTTGAGACAACATTCCTCATGATTGAGCTAAACTTTCACACCTAACATTTTCGACCAATCAAAATCCTGTATGTTGTATCGTTACCATAGCAACCAAACAAATTTCCAGAATTCTCTTTCTTTTTCTTGGGAGAAGGAGCATAGAATTACACTGGACAACTTTTCTACGTTTATAGGTGAAATGACATTCACATTCAACTTCAGATTGTTTCGAATTCTTTATATGTATAAGTTGAACAAAATTGACGCGAAACCGAAGTGTGTCGCTGCCAAATGTTTGTTTTCTCGCTGGGCATGTTTATTTTATCCCTTGGAGCGCACGAAAGAAAATTCCTATAATGTTCGTTTGGTAGGTGTTGGATTTTGTTTGAACTTTTGCGAAAAAGCTGAAAAAGTAATCACGCCGAATTACATAAGTGGTGGTAATTTTTTTCATAACTTCCAATTAGATTATTACCTACTTGTCTTTGTTTCTATTGAGAAATCCACAGCAACAAATATTCGTGCATCTAGTTAAAATTATCAGAAAAATACCGCCACTTGTGTACTTACTGTTGGCAGGCAGGCAGGCAGGCAGGTCAATGCTGTCAATGAAGATCTTGCTGAAATCACAGACTGGGGAACCAACAACCTAGTTGAATTCAACGCCACCAAAACTCGAGCCTGTATTTTCTCTAGAAAAGCGGAACTCAGTATGCCCGATATTGTAATGTCTGGCTCCACCATCCCCACCAAGCCCACCATATCTATGCTCGGAATTTCCATCAGCAACACTCTTTCATGGGATAATCATGTCAGATCCATCGCAAAAGCTGCTCCACAAAAACTCGGATTCTTGTTCCGTGCGAAAATCTACTTTACACCTCAACAGCTTCTCATGATCTACAAAGCGCAGATACGCCCTGTTCTAGAATACTGTTCCCACATATAGGGTTCAGAACCAAAACATACGCTGATGCTCTTAGATTCCATCCAGAGAAGAGCCATTCGCCTGGTGGGAGACGCCACACTCACTCACTCTTTGACATCATTGGAACACCGTAGGAAGGTCGACGACCTTTCACTTTTCTATCGATACTTCCACGGTAAATGTTTTTCGGAAATCTCTGCTATCATCCCTTCACTAGCAATACCAATCAGACGAACTAGACAAGCCCAGTCAGCACATTCTTTCGTTGTCAACCTTGAAAGATGTCGAACAGCACTTTATCAAAACTCCTTCATCCATAGAACGGCTAGGCTCTGGAATTCATTGCCTGTGGAAGTATTCCCAACAACATATAATCTCCAGAAGTTCAAAAAAAACTCCAATACCTACCTCCTGTCCCTATCCTCCCTAGGAACGCACGATGTTCTTTGAACATTATAGGGATTCCCTTTCGTGCGCCAAAAGCGATAAAAAAAATTGTATTTATAAGTGATGATACATAAATAAACAAATCAACAATGAGAAATCGGCAGTCGAATCGAACCTGTTGTGCATACCATCATACTTCTGCATACGAAACGTATCCTCTCATTACACAAGTTGTCCCAGGACTTTATTTTTTTGTTTCCTGAGGACTGTACAAATTAGGTCAAAATATCATCATTCTTTAATTCTGTGTAAGGTTGATTCGATAGTTCGAGCTGTGATCTTCAATATCCAGCTGGATTATGAATAATAACTCGTGACCCAGAGTGCATTACCTCCCTCGTTGAACAATTACTGAAATGGCTGCCTGAACCCTCTCAACATATATATACGCATCAGATGCGTTTCATGATGTTTCATTAATTTCAATCAGGAGCAAAGTGCATATTGTAACCAGAATCAAGCCACCCCACAAAACTTAAAACCTTCCACAGGTGACCCATTCTGCGCCATTCACCCTACACAACAATCAAAATATATAGGATGTCCTGAACTGACGTTCTCATAATACGGACTCTGATTTCAGTGCTTCGAATATCAGACTTCAGACAGAATCTGATCAATTTTCCAAACCAAATAATAAAAGCAGTATCTCTAAAAAATAATATCATAGTCATACCCAGCGAATACAATTATATAAAATTGACATAAGTTTTACATAACTGATTATACGTGATATGTAACTATGTTATATGTAAAACTTACATCACTGTTATGGCGAAATGTCCGCCACGAATACTATAATATGATTTTTACATAAAAATTATGTTACTGTTTTATATGTATTTCATAGAATTTCATTGCTATAAATATAATGTTACGAATATAACAGACTGACATAAAAATTACATAACATTCTCTAGATGTTATGTGAAATTTACATCCCTATCATTGTAAAAATGTCAGCTACAACTATAGTCTAATTTTCTTTAATATTGATGAAACTACCTGCCTAATATCCGGAATGAATATCAGAATTTCACAAATAACCTCTTCACCACACCAACTCACTTCACAGGCATACGCACATATTGATAACTAATCATGTAGGTGATCTACACTTTGCACACTATAATATTTAAACTGATATTACTGATGATGATATGGATATAGAAATGTGCATATGAGTTGGAAGTGGGCTAGTGTGAGAAAGGAGTTATTTGGCAGTTTTATATATTGTGTGGGAAAAATGTAACAGAGACAGATTAGTCATAACATGCTTGATGGTTTATTATTTTCTATTTCATTTAGTATTTTCCACTTTAATTCTCGTTACATGGTGAAAAAGAACTCTGCTCTAAAATTGGTAATACTGCCTTTTTCAAACATCACGCATTTAGTATACAGTATAATTGATCAGTTGCTATAACTTAAAACCA